TGCCTATGCAGCCAAAGCATTTGATAAGTTTTGTTCTGAATTTGCAATTAAACACTCTACTGGCATCCCATATAATCCCACAGGCCAGGCTGTGGTAGAGCGTGCCCATGCAACTCTCAAAGCATTATTAATAAAACAAAAAGGGGGAGTAGGAGCCACCCTATATCCCAAAAGTCCTAAACATCAATTGGCTTTAGTTACTTATATTTTTAACTTTTTGATTCTGGATTTGGATGGCCATTCTGCTGCCGAACGCCACACTGTTGGCGCAGGCCCCTGCAAAGATTGGGTGATGTGGAAGGATGTTTTAACAAAACAATGGATGGGCCCGCATCCTGTCTTACGACGGACGCGAGGAGCGGTTTGTGTTTTTCCACAGGATTCTGATGGACCGGTGTGGGTGCCAGAACGTTTGACGCGAGTGATAAGAAAGCCGGAGCAAGATGAACCTGTGGACGTGGTGGATGCTGACCAGCCTGATGTTCATTCAGATACCGAGAGGAGACAACCAGAATCTCCAGCTAAAACTGCACCATAAAAGGTGTGCAGCAAATATTGACTCGCTGTCTAGGGCCTTGGAAATGGCCCCCAGAATGGACTGCTGTCAAAGTACTGTGACTCCTAGAAGAGTAGCACCTGATCTTGCTGTGACCAATTTATTTCCTACCTGTTCAAATTGTGCCTTTGTGGGGTATAACTATATATATGGTAACCCTGTTCAATCTGTTTCTGCTCAGTCTTGGAATGTCTGGGTACTTTGCACTAATAGGGGTGGGTGTTCAGATATATCAGCTTTTGCATTTATTGATAAGGTAGTGATAAGAAATTGTAATTATAGTAGTAGTAGTTCTAGAATATGGGAAGAAAATGTTAAAGTTAATTGCAGTTGTTATGTTATCTATAATGCTATTTATGTATGTGTACAAGCTCCATTTATGTTTATTGTTAATTGCTCTGTAGTTAAGTGAGCCCTTAACCAGTGTTGGAATGGCTCTGGCACTGTGGTGCTGGTACGCATTCCACAACTTATTTCCATCATATGGGGACCTCCTGTGTGCTTAGTCTACCTGGAATGTGTGTCACTCCCTCTATTGTCACCAATGGTTCCCGAGCACTGAATTTGTCCAGAGAATTATCCGCTACGCTATCCCCTAGTGGAAGCTGGTCCATACGACAAAAGTAGAGATTGCCACAGTAAAGCAATGGACAAATTGCATACTAAAGGATCTTTCCTTTGCACACCAATGGGCTGGTATAGTAGCCATGGGCCTTATATCATTCTTTGGGGTCTGTGGATGCTTCATCCTTGAGCACAGCGTCAGCAGCAGTAACAGCAGCTGCTAGTGCAAGCTGTGCTTGCCCTTCACAACAGATAATCCCTAAAAGTCTGGCTAGGCATGCTGGACCGGTAGCCAGAGACGGGTAAGTATCCGATATGGCTTCACCAACCTAAGACAGGTGCCACGTTCCTAGCCACGTGGTTAGCCCATGATGGGTAAGGGGAGCCTGAACTCGGAACACCTAAGACAGGCACGGTCCCTTGCTTAATAAAACGAGAAGGGGGAACTGTTGGGGGCACTGACCATTTCCTGCCCTGTGATTGGCCCTTTGCCCTGATTGGTGTGCCTTGGTTCTCTTTAAGTTGATTGGTCAAGTTTGACAGTTAAGCGGGGGGCTTGGCGGGGGAGGGGCTGGAGCGTAACGGATATAACGGTGATAACGGTCAACGGACAACGGAGTTAACGGACGGGACGGAGGAGCAGAATAAAAAGCGCCTTGGAGACTCTCTCAAGTGTCGGGTGATTTCTTCCGCGGGACGGGAGGACCCCCGATATTTGGTACCGTGACTCGGATAGAATATAAATGATGACCTTTAATAGCTCTAATTTCTCATAAAGAGAGCCATAGGAGGGATGGAAAAGGAAGAAAAACTGAATGTCTAGTGAGGAACTAGAGCTGTAACCAAAAATTCCTCCCTCATGTGCAACAAAGGAGAGGGAGAGAGATGGTTTTGATTCAATGGGGGTTATAGGGTTGAGTTATATTATTGGCTAGGCATGTATCTCAGCTTAGAACTGAAACAACTGGTAGTTCCTATAAGGATTACCAACCCTAGCTTCCATCCTTGCCATGATATAGTACATGTGACAAGGGCAATGGGAAGTTCTGACATAAAAAACATCTCCCCCGTTCCTTTTTATCTAGCACTACAGAGGAAGAAAATAATATTATAAAGCAACCTGCCTGTACACAACATCACAAAATTTATATCTGGATAATTATGAGACTCCCTGTATTATAAAACCTTATTAATTTAGACTACACTAATTTGGAATTTGTGATAATTTAACCTGGGTGGAGTTACCTTTGTCCTACTTACAAAGAAAGGGCTCAGTAAGCAAATGGTGTGAACAAAGTTTCAAGGGAGCTAATTTAGCATGCCAAGGGTTTACTTTACCTATTTTAAAGAATATACTGTTGTGTAAGAACTTCAGTGTATTCATTATTTGAACACAAATTGATTCTGTGAATTATATATTAACTTACTGTTAACATCCTATCTCTGCAAATGTTACTTTGCTCTCACTGAATATGTTCATTAGAAGTAAAATAGTACACTTTTAAAGCTAATTCACAGTTCACATTCAAATAACTTTTCTTTTTTTTTAAGATTCATTTTTATTGGAAAGTCAGATTTTCAGAGAGAAGGAAAGACAAAGAGAAACATCTTCCATCTGCTTGTTTACTCCCCAAGTGGCTGCATTAACTGGAACTGAGCCGATCTGAAGCCAGGAGCTTCTTCCAGGTCTCCCATAGGCAGGATACAGGTCCCAAAGCAGAGTCCTAAGGTTTTGGTCCATCCTATACTGCTTTCCTAGGCCAAAAGTAGGGAGCTGGATGGGAAGGAGAGCAGCGGGAACACAGACTGGCGCCCATATATGATCCCAGTGCTTGCAAGACAAAGGTTTTAGCCATTAGGCTATTGTGCCAGACTTGCTGTTTCTTTCTTTTAAATTGATTTGTTTTATGATACAGTTCTACACGATCAGGTATTTCCCCTCCTTCACTCTCCTTTCTGCACTGATTTCCCCTCTATTATTATGACAGAATAGTCCTTCAAAAACAGTTGTAAGTCTATCATCCTGCAATTTAAGGGTGTCATGACATTATAAGAATTGAGAATGGCAAGAATGTTCAGCATCCTATTGTCAATATATTTTGAACAGTGTCATTGGGAGTTACAATTTTATTCAGAAGTAGACATATATACTTCATTGTATCTTCACTTCTTGATATAATAACCTCTATCACACAGTTTCTGTAGATGCATATGTGTATAATCATGTTTACTTATATGCTACTGAGAGAAAAAGAGAGAGAAAACACAGAGAGAGGTCTTCCATCTGCTGGTTCACTCCCCAAATGGCTATAATGGCCAGGATTACATCTGGCTAAGGTCAGAGTCCGAAACTTTTTCTGGGCCTTTCAATTGAGTTGCAGGGGCTCAAGTACTTGGGCCATCTTTTACTACCTTCCCAGGTGCATGGGCACGAAACTGAATCAGAAGCAGAGCAGCTGGTATTCAAATAACCACTCACTCAGCATGCCAGTGCCACAGGCAGTAGCTTCATTTGCTGCACCATAATGCCAAACCCAAGAATCACTCTTTACCTGAATGTTCCATGTATCCAATGATTTACTATATTTTCCCTTTTCTTTTTTTAAGATTTATGTATTTTTATATGAAAGGTACTTTTACAGAGAGAGAGAGAGAGGTCTTTCACCCACTGGTTCACTCCCCAAATGGTTACAACAGCCATAGCTGAGATGAACTGAATCTAGATGCCATGCCCTTTTTCCAGGTTTTCCACATGGTGCAGGGTTCCAAGGATTTGGTACATCCTCCACTGCTTTCCCAGGCCATGGGCAGAGAGCTGGATGGGAAATGGAGCAGCCAGGAGACAAACTGGCACCCACATGGGCTGACAGAATGACAGAGTAGAAGATTAGCCTGCTGCACCTGTACTCGTACAGTGGCTGACCTGAATTTTTCTCTAAATTTGCATGCAGCAGCTATATTTATTTATAAGCAGAAATACATATACAACATCACACATTATACTATATGATTATAAGCATCCTGATTTCATAAGCTGGTAGTAAATACCAAAATTTAAAAAAATAAACAAAGTAACTATGAACATGGTTTATAGGATCCATCTCAAAAGCTCAGATCAGTCTCCATATGCTCAACATTCTATTTCCAAATTATAGTCAAAGAAGAAAAAAATTAAACTTTAAATTATCAAACAATCAGTTAATATCCTAGTCATCTACTGGTTTCTCATGCCTTCTGGGAAAATTTAAGGTGAGAATAGGCAGTAAGACAAGAAGGATGGTAAAGGAGGTGGGTTGAAAGGGAAACTAAAATTCAGTCAGCTGTCATAGAGGATTTAGGAGAATCCGTTTGCTAGATATTCTAAGAGAACTCTCAGGACATAAAACACATAGGAGCATAGTGTGTATTAAGAGTAACATGAGTAGAGGTAGAGAGATGTGAAAATATTCAGTGATCTTTGTTAGTAGTGAGGGGTGGCTGGCCGCATGTGTGTAAACAAAGATAAATGTATAATGAAACCACTGCTTCTACCTATAGTGATGCTCTTTTACTCATTTCCTCTTGTGTCAAGTTTATCAACTCAAGGATCAGCTAAAAACGTCACTTCCGTCATGAAGCACTGCATAATCTCAAAGGCTAAATTAAACTCTCCCTCTGTATTCCCACAGTTTTTAGTTTTTATACATTTACCAGAACGTCGATGATATTTTATCTTATTATGTGGGTTACTCATGTATGTGCTTTTCCCTCTCCCTCTCTCTCAGCAAGAGGGCAGGGGGCCCTGTCATTTCTACCATCTGTCAAGTTCTACCACATATTAGGCTCTGGGAAAATGTCTCAATAGCACTCACTGAAGGCAGTGCATTACAGCCTATCTTACCTGAAGGAGTATTTGTTCTCTTTCTTTTCTTGCTTGATTCCCCTCCATTCTCAATGAGGCCTTCTGTGACCAGAGGGCCACTGGAACTACCAAACTGCAGGGGCTCGTTGTTGGTGGCAGGGTCAAAGGGCAGCTGGTTCAATCCTAAAGAAGAAAAAGAAAGCCAAAGTCCAGACTCCATAAAGGACTGGGTTCATCTCTAGATTTAATTATATGAGCCACTTGTGTGAAATCTTTTAAGAGCCCAGGAATGACAGGTAAACTATTCAGACAGCTGTCTTTTGCAAGTTTTACAGGTGTTGTTGACAAGCACAGGAGTAAAATATAAGATGTTAGGGGGTGGAGACTGTGGCAAATGGGCTAAGCCATCACTTGGGACAACTGCATCTCACGCTAGAGTATCGGTTACTCCACACTTCTGATCCAGTTTCCCAGTAATGTGCCCAGGAGGCAGAGGCTGATGTCCCAGGTATTGGATACCTGCTGCCCATGTGGAAGACATGGATACAGTTCCTGGCTTCTGGATCCTGGCTTCAGCCTGGCCCACTCTTGGCTGTTGCAGGTAACTGGGGAATGAACCAGCCAAGGGGAAGTTTCCTTCCTTCTTTTTGCCTCGTGAATAAATATATAAATTAATTAATCTAAAAAATATATAACACAATGACCTCATCATTTGTAAATTCCCTCCTATTCTTGTGAGAATGTAATATTTTTGGCCAAAAGCTACCAACTGTCCTTTCTCTCTTAAAAAGACAGAACTTCCAGGCCTGGCACAGTAGCCTAGTGGCTAAAGTACTTGCCACGCATGCACCAGGATCCCTTATCAGCACAGGTTCATATACAAGCTACTCTACTTCTCGTCTACCTCTCTGCTTCTGGCCTGGGAAAGTGGTAAGAGAAGGCCGAACACCTTGGGACCCTGCACCTGCGGGGCAGACCCAGAAAAGGCACCTGGCTTTGGGTCAGCTTAGCTTCAGCTGTTGTGGCCATTTGGGGAGTGAACCAGTGAATGGAAGATGTTTCTCTCTGTCTTTCCTCTCTGTAAATCTGCATTTCTAATAAAAATAAATAAATCTTTAAAAAAGACAACTTTCTGTAAATGTGTCTGTGGTTAAACCTACTCTTTGAAAAAGGCTGGCTTTCAATTTCTTACATTATCTCTTGACATTTTTCCATCCCTTCAGTACAAGGTTTTTTTGAATGATTACAGATATAATCATTACTCTATACTGCTGTCAAAGATACTTCTAATAATAATACAGAAGTTTCTAAAACAGAAAGTAAGAGTGCCATAGCAAATTAGAAATGAATAAAAAGAGACAGACATTGCCAAGGGGTTAGCAGCTGCAGTGATGAAGAGTTATAACCCAAGTTTAGGCTTGTTAATCTGATCCTCTTCAGATGATGTCAGAAGCATGATCACTTTACTAGTCATTGTTGCATAATATAAAATAGTGAAAGGGTATTTTCTACTATGCAATTATTAAACAGTTCAGTCAAATGTCAACAGTATCTTACTTCTTTGGCAGCAGTGCCTGGAATTTCAAGTGTTTCAATTAAAACTTAATGAAATAGGGAATCAAAAACTCTGTAAAAGCCCAAAGTTAGAACATCTCTTCAAAGTCTTTTATCCACTGGTCCTTTAATCCTATCAAAAGGGAAATCAGGTTGGCCTGACACTGTTTATTTTTTAACCCTCGATTTTTCTATGATCTTCTCCTGTACAGTTCTTGAGGTAATGTTGCAAAATGTTAATAAGTTCCTTGGAATTGAGCCGAGCGTGATGGCTCAATTGGATAATTCTCCCTTTGCAAGCACCAGGATGGCATAAAGACACCAGTTCATGGCCTGGCTGCTCCACTTACCATCTAGCTCCCTACTTGTGGCCTGGAAAAGCAGTACACGATGGACCAAACCCTTGAAACCTTCATCTGTGTGGGAGACCCAGATTAAGCTCCTGGCTTTGGATCAGCTCAGCTATAAGCATTGATACAGGAGAGTCAACCAGCAGATGGAAGATCTTTCTGCCCCTCCTTCTCTTTGTAAACCTGCCTTTCCAGAAATATAAACAAACAAATAAATCTTTTTAAACCTTCCTTGAAATCCATTCAACCAAAGATCCCTCAAATTTCAGTAAAATAAATAATAAACATCTAACACAAATACTTTACATTTTTGGATTTCTGTTTTGAATAAAAAGTCTTCTCCTACTGTTTTTATTCCACATAACAAATACTATTTCTTCAGCAATCAGACTCCATTTGAAACATCTCCACTCAATGCCTTCTGGGATTTGTCAAACATTGTTTCTTTATTTAATGTGAGCAACTCAGGTGTAAGAATAAATCTTGCTTCTGTATTGTAAGTTAACTATTCACTGCATCAGATATATAGCTTATTAAATCCCTACCAAGACCAGAACTAAAAAAAAAAATCACTTTAGATATATAAGAAAATACTGAATTCATGATAAAGATTATTTGGGAAGAACACTAGAGATTTATAACATTCACAGATGAAGGCTTTTTTGACCAGAACAGTCTCAGAGTCAAAAACATTAACATTACTACAGACCTTTTCTTGGCATTTTTTATTGCAATATCATACCAATCAAAACAAAATACATGGCAGATAATATTCCAGTAAAAAGAGTGCAACAGATAGGGAGTCCAAATCCAGGATGTCATTTAGCAATTGTATAGCTTTTGCATGAATTCTTTCCTAGCTTTAGAATGTGTGAATGGGTACTGATAATACAGTACAATATTGGTGTAAAGATATATATATTTTGTTTATTTATTTATAATGGAAGAATTGGTTTAGTGGTTAAGATACAGCTTTGGATGCTGGCATCCCACATCAGAGTGCCTGGATTTGATCCTGGCCCTGTTCTCAATTCCAGCTTCCTAATAATGCGTACCCTGGGAGGCAGTAAGTACCCTGGGAGCTCAAGTACTTGGGTCCCTGCCACCTGTGTGAGAGAATCAAATTGTGTTCCCCAAACATTAGCTGTTGGATGCACTTGGGGACTGAATCATAAGATGGGGTATCTCTTTGTGTGTATGTGTTTATACACACATTGTGTCTGTGTGTATATATGTATATATATGTGTATATATATGTGTGTGTATATATACACACACAGACACAATGTTTTAATTTAGAGTTATGTAATTATATATATGTACACACACAGATGTAAGCTTTGGAAGCTGTAAGGATAAAGCTTTCATCTCTCATGCATGCATATACATACACACAATTATATCATGCTTAACACATAGTGTTGAATGAATGTGCATAGCGATGGAAATGAGTCATTCTATTAACCCATGCAATAAAGAGTAAAGACCAGGCAGCTGATAATCAATATGTAATACCATAGCTTAAAAGTTTTGGTGTTGATTATATCAACTTACTTAAACTAATTAGATTTTAAATGCATCCCCATTATTTGAGTTTTATGCTGCAAGATGGTAAAATTCTGATTAAAGGGAATGCTCAAGAATGAGAAGGTTCTGATTAATGATTATTAATCATAAAAGTCTTTCTTTTTATGTCTTGCATTTGTAATTTTGCAAAATGATCCAAGTGTATTAGTCCATTCTCTGCCTTATTAAACAATGGCTGAAGATGGTACAGAGTCTCAGAACCATGAACTATAAACTGAGGCTCACAATAGCACCTCTCTCACAGGTATGTCTAAATAGTAAACGGGATCATGTATGTAGAGCATTCTGCATCACATCGAGCACATAGCACATGCTTGATAGCTGTTAACTACTAAAAATGCTGAGTGCATGTTTTAAGCTTCTAGATTTACTGGCATATAATGTAAGGAGACTGACTTGAATTCTACCTACTTTCATCATTTAATCCTTTTTCAAACTTTTATTTCAGAATAGTTTTAATTTACATAAAAATGAAGTAGTACAGTTTTGATATGTTCCACAGCCAGATTCCCCTATTGTTAACATCTTACACTGTAATGATATATGCCACAAGCTGTAAAACTTTTCAGTCATTTTATTAATATTTGTAACTGTTTTTTAAAAGACAAAATTATTTTTTAATCAACAGAGAGAGACAAAGAACTCTGATCTACTTACTGATTCACTTCCCCAAATGTCTGCAACATCTGGAGCTGGATCAGGGACAAATTCAGATGCAGGAACTGAAGATATTATGAGGATAACAAGACACCAGGCGCTTGAACCATCAACACTGCCTCCCAGGATGCACATAGGCAGGAAGCTAGAGTCATGATCTAGAGCAGGGTTCTGAACCCAGATATTCCAAAGTGGGCATTTTAACTACTAAGCTAAACATCTGTTCCTGTTGGCATTATTTTCTAAAATTTGTAGGAGTCCAGGAAAAAAAACTGTTTTGTTAAAAGCATTCAGTCAGTCATTTCACTGTAATTGTTCCCTATTTCCACCAGAAGACAGATGATCACTTCAGAGATTTTTTTCATTTGAATATGCCAACTGATTTTTTTTTAACATTGAGTAAGACCAAGATATTAGTACATTCTGTGTATCTAACTCATTTATCATTCAGATATGTGAAAATCCTGATAATTCAGCATAACATGTGAGACCTAATTTTTAACAGGGAAAAGATCTCATATTTGAGACACACACACACATACACAAAGAGAAAGAGAACAACAGAGAGAGACAGACAGAATGAAAGATTTCACTAAACAAGCTGATTCACTGAACAGAAATTCACATTTTAGAATACTGAGAACTAAATACAGTCTCCAAAGAGACTTTAGTCCCTACTAAAAAGACAACAAACATCTATGACACCAGTGTTTTCTACCTGCCTTTACTGTATTGTTTCTTTCCTCCCTTGCCTCAGGTTACGATAGTGAAACGTGACCCTGTGGTCCACATCACTTGTTATTTGCAGCTGTGATCCAAAGAGTGTATAATCTTGGCAAAAAGAAACTCAATTCTACTCTGGATTAGTTCCTTTTAAAAAGAAAAATGATTAAAATTCTGAGGAGCCTAGTAAACCAAATTCTAGGCAGCAAACTCAAGATAGAAATTAATGGTGCAAAAAAATAAATATCTGTTTGAGGCAATAAGGACATTCTGGCAAATCTGAATATGACACAAACTTCTGTAACCT